TATCAATGATGTTTGGTACTGTTGATCTGGGTTGCCATTGATGTTTGGTACTGTTTACCAGGGTTGCCATTGATGTTTGGTACTGTTGATCAGTGTTATCAATGATGTTTGGTACTGTTGATCAGTGTTATCAATGATGTTTGTTACTGTTGATCTGGGTTGCCATTGATGTTTGTTACTGTTGAACAGGGTTGCCATTGATGTTTTGTACTGTTGATCAGTGTTATTAATGATGTTTGGTACTTTTGATCAGTGTTATCAATGATGTTGGTACTGTTGATCAGTGTTATTAATGATGTTTGTTACTGTTGATCTGGGTTGCCAATGATGTTTGGTACTGTTGATCAGGGTTAACAGTGTTAAGATTTGGTAAGGTTGATCATTGTTATCGATAATGATATTTGGTACAGCTGATTTGGGTAAACAGTGACATTTTGGTACTGTTGATCAAGGATCAGTGATGATATTTGATCAAAGTTATCAATGATGTTTGGTACTTTGTTGATCTGAGGGTGCTATTGATCACCCAATTTAACAGTATCAAATATCATCATTGCTGTTTAGTACTATTAATCAGGGTTATCCATGATGATATTTGGTGTTGTTGATCAGGGTTATTAGTGATGATACTTGGTGTTGTTGATTATCAATGATGATGATATGGTTGTTAATGGCTGTGTATGCTGATGGAATAAATTTATTGGGTTTCAGAGAAAAAGAAATTGAGGCATATGCATAAATAGAGAATATGTCACATTAGACTTTGGGCTACCAGATGCAGCATACACAAGTAGAGAATATGTCACACCTGAATTTGGGCTACCAGTTTTAGCATACACAAGTAGAGAATATGTCACACCTGAATTTGGGCTACCAGTTTTAGCATACACAAGTAGAGAATATGTTACACCTGAATTTGGCCTACCAGTTTTAGCATACACAAGTAGAGAATATGTCACACCTGAATTTGGGCTACCAGTTGTAGCATACACAAGTAGAGAATATGTTACACCAGACTTTGGGCTACCAGTTGTAGCATACACAAGTAGAGAATATGTCACACCAGACTTTGGGCTACCAGTTGTAGCATACACAAGTAGAGAATATGTTACACCAGACTTTGGGCTACCAATTGTACCATACACAAGTAGAGAATATGTTACACCAGACTTTGGGCTACCAATTGTAGCATACACAAGTAGAGAATATGTTACACAAGACTTTGGGCTACCAGTTGTAGCATACACAAGTAGAGAATATGTTACACCAGACTTTGGGCTACCAATTGTAGCATACACAAGTAGAGAATATGTTACACCAGACTTTGGGCTACCAATTAATTGTAGCATACACAAGTAGAGAATATGTTACACAAGACTTTGGGCTACCAGTTGTAGCATACACAAGTAGAGAATATGTTACACCAGACTTTGGGCTACCAATTGTAGCATACACAAGTAGAGAATATGTCACACCAGACTTTGGGCTACCAATTGTAGCATACACAAGTAGAGAATATGTCACACCAGACTTTGGGCTACCAGTTTTAGCATATAATACCATCAGTTTCTATAAGAAATTATTAAGCAAAAATAATAAGTTAAAGATGCAAAACTTTTAAAATTCCTTTATAAATTATTAAAGTATGCCATAAAATTGTTGTATATTAAAATATCTTGAGGAAAACCCTAGATTGTCATAAAATATGCTAAAAATATGTCTAATTAAGGCACAACAAATGTCAATAGAGTAATAGAGAAAAGATAATCTTTTTCTGAAATACATGTTAAAAATTTAACTTCCATACTGCTCTGATAAAATTAACATTTTAATTGCAAGATTCTTCTGTCCTTAATCTATATGCATAAAAATGAATAATTTTATGATTAATTTCATATTTTCTTCCAATAATTTAGAATGGTTTTATAAATTGCAAAGATTTTCAGTTAAATTACTTTGCTCAAATGTTCTTACAGTTGTTAATAATAATAATAATAATAATAATAATAATAATAATAATAATAATAATAATAATAATAATAATAATAATAATAATAAAAGTCCAGTTTTGTTATTTCCAATATTCTTGTTTATCTATCCATTTTTGTAATCACATGCTGCTAAAAAGTCTATGACCATAATGATTCATCCTCAAAGACAGCAGACTAGAAAGTGTGATGCTTTGAGGAGTCACAGTAGCACAGTTAGAAGAGCTTCTTACCTGTAATCCAAGGATTACAGGCTCAATACCCAGTCATGCCAGCTTGGGTCAGCTGCCTTGATGTTTTCTTGGGAAAAGTTTCCATTTCCTCAGCATGGTATAACCAGTCAAGTGTTGAAATTGCCAACAAAACCAACACATACAAATGTGTTGACTTTAATTTTGTAAGAATTCAAGTGCATATATTGACTTTTACAAATTAAAACTGAAAAAGCCATTTTGTTCTTAATAAATTCCCAGATGTACAGTCAAATTTTATTTATTTCCTTTTATGATAAGAATATTGAAGATTATTTACAAGTGGGTTTAATGTTTCAATGTTCTATATCATAGCCAAGTCATTCTGTACCCTTAGTTTCCTTTTAAGTATTTTCAGGTATGGCCTAATGGGTTAGATCAGTTGATAAACATAATCCTTGTCAGCTATTTTTCATGTCAAAAATACATAAAATTTACAATTTGTCAACATTAAACATTCCAATGTTTTTCTGCAATTAATGTAACAATCAATTTCATAACATCTGGTCAGAAAAAATTCAATCAAATTAGCATTTTATGTATTTTTGGACAGGTTTCCAGTCATCAAGTCAAGGTAGAGTATAACATCATGTGTGATGGGTACACAGCCTCTCTCCTAAAGGCTGTAGGGCATAAGCCATATTTCACAATTTTATTTCTGTGTTGTAATAGATTTTTCTGTGTGGACAGTAGTGGTTACCTCAGGCCATGGCCCTGTAGACTTTGATCAGATTTTTATATTTTGAAGCCATTTTAAATGCAGAAATAAAATAGACTGAAGAAAGTATTGGAAACCATTTAAATATCTGGTCATTGTTAAGACTGGTGGAGAGAACCAGATGTAAATTTCATGCATACTCAGATAACAATATGCCCCTTGACCTTATGGCTGACACCAAGAGGTCAGATATCAGTGTCCTTAGCTATATTTGACCTTGACATTTCACATTTTGCTCTTAAAATTACACAATATTTTCAAATTAGTCACAATAATGTACTCATTAATAGATAGGTACATAATGTTACTTTTTGCTTGAAGAGTGTCAATGTTTATGAAAATTGGTTATATGCTGTTAGTATTCAACTTGTATATTTTTTAATCTATCAGACAAAAATGACAGTCCACAAAAGTACCAGTAGATTCCAGTTTGAGTACATCTGTCTTAAATGTGAACAAATTACAATCTGATGTGTGTGTGAATCTTTTAAAAAATGTGTCTTTATTTTTTATTTTTTTAACTTGACTACTAAATGTGATTGGATATTCTCTGTCTGGTTTGCAGACCCAGTATGTATCATAAATTCACTTCTAAGTTCTACCCTATAAATGTGAATCACATCATTGAACTGGCTATATAAAAATACTTCATTGTTTCCTATTTATAATGCTGTTCATGGAGTCATAACAGTAAATTGTGTTACAAGTGAGGGTTCTACATACTTAAGATGTTTAAACAAGGCTATGTCCTATAAAGGTATTTAATGATACATTTCATTTGCATATGTCACCATACTTGCATAGTTAGGGATGTTTAAACAAGGCTATGTCATATAAGGGTATTTAATGATACATTTCATTTGGATATGTCACCACACCTGCATAGTTAGGGATGTTTAAACAAGGCTATGTCATATAAGGGTATTTAATGATACATTTCATTTGCATATGTCACCATACCTGCATAGTTAGGGATGTTTAAACAAGGCTATGTCATATAAGGGTATTTAATGATACATTTCATTTGGATATGTCACCACACCTGCATAGAGTTGTTTAAACAAGGCTATGTCATATAAGTGTATTTAATGGTGCATTTCATTTGGATATGTCACCATACCTGCGTAGTTAGGAATGTTTAAACAAGGCTACGTCATATAAGGGTATTTAATGATACATTTCATTTGGATATGTGACCATACTGGCCTTATAGGAAGTGCAACAATACACTGAGGTGTTCAATAGTGAGGAACCTCTGTCCTTGCTGATACTCTTTCAATTTGCTTCATAATGCTGGCAGTACTGTATATACTTACTTATAGGATGAGTCCATATGCAAACTACACAGACCCAGATCTTCCAGCACATAATGTGCCTGCATCTCTGGGTCTGTGCAATTTGATAGTAGTAATTAGCAGTACAAACAGCAGAGACTCTGATCAGAAGGTGAATGATGCTATGACAGATCTGGTTCCTTGTTTTTTTTTTTCAATTTCATTTGACTTGTAAGTGCATACAAGTGCATACAGATGGTATTGCCAGATTATTCTAATATGGGATATATCAGAAAATTATGGTACAGTTGTACCACATTTGACTACAGATTTTGCTGTATGAAAACATAACTGTTAAATGTCAAGAGAGATATAAAAAACTCTGATTACCACTGGCTAACTTAGAAATACATTGTTACACAAGCTGCTTGATAATAAAACATATTTTGGTTTTGTTTCCAAAAGTATTTGTTCAAATTAATGTATATTATCTTGGACTGTGTATGATAGTAGACATATTTATTTTATGCATGGATACTTTGAGATTACTTTAAGACTATTTGAAGATTACTGAGTACTTGTTTTTTAAAGTTATTATATGTCAACAATAATAGTGCATCAAAAGAAATTTTTAAATGACTTCAGATGGCTGCATTTTAGTAATTGATTTTTGAGAGATAGAATTTTTTATTTGTCCAAAGAAAAAGAATAATACAAATTTCATGTTTTAAAATAATAAATATTTAAATATTAATAAAGTTTCATTTGGAGCCATGGTAACTAAGTTGGTAGAGTGTTGGACTCATACCCCAGTGGTTGTAGGATCAGTACCTGCCCAGGTCAACCTGAGTTGGATGACTCAGTGTGTCATTTGGAGGGCATTTAGATTTATTTGGTATTTAATCCTTCTGAATTTGTTTTAATAATTTTCCTCTGTTATCAGGTTTTTCAACCTTTAATATGTTTGCCATTTTAATAACAAAGGTCGGCTTTATGGTATTATAGAAAGTTTCTGACTGAAGCAATCTTAAATTTTGTTTTTGTTTTTGCTCTGCTTATCCTAAAAATTAAGATGTATTTACAGGGTAGCTGATAAGGCCTGATAAGATTGGCTGACAGGTATCAATACACACCTCCATATGATTACTTTGTGCTGATTCTCAGTTCTCCCTGAAGTAGCAGTCCAATGGTTAATCCAGTAGTTGACTACACTGATTGGTACCTGGGAATTACCTGTCAATCTAGGTAATTGGTAACAATTTATCAGGGTATTCGAGAATTGTCTGCCAATAATAAGTGATTATGATCAGATTTCTTCACTTTGTTAGGATTTATTGGAAAGCAAACAAGTTTTGGCTTCATTTCCACCTCTATCACTTTTTTATGGTAAGGGTTGGACCAATTTGACACCTAGCAGATTGTATACATTACTGGTACACAAATATTTTCCTGCTTTTTTTGCAATCAGGTTTTCTAACTCTCTTCTTTCTTATAGCCTGTATCTCATTTATACAGGTCTGTGGCATGTTGCTCCAGTGCAAGACATCACTAAACTGCCACCCTGCAGACATCATAGCAACATGACTGAAAAATTGGTAAAGCTATGTTAAAAATCCAAATCACATACTCACAGCAAAGTGTTACAATCTTAAATTCTTTTTTGTCATTCTTTTGATCCGATATAAAAAAATTTATAAAACATTATTTAAAAAGTATTCCAGATTATTTTTTACTTAGCATGTATAATTGGTCAATTATTATATTTTGCAATTGAATCATTCACCAACTTTCAGATTTCATTGAAATCTATTGTTCTGCCATATTATTGTACTGCAGTTTACAGAATACATGTTCAAATAAAAAATATCAAAATACAAACAACCAAATGTAACAACCTTTAGAATAGGAAATTATTTATGTTGTGTCTGGAAGATATGCAAATTAGCTTTCCAATGACTGAAATGGTTAGTTCATGTACACTAAGTTCTAATTAACTGTCATTATTTATATACAGTATAGAATTGTTAAATATAAGATTTTATTAAGTTAATTATGATTTGAATATTACAGGAAATGATGTTGAGCTAGATAGACAAAAAATATAATTACTTTACATAAAAACACATGAGTGGCCAGAGAAATGATCTGTCATGGAGTGATCCATGTAAAAAAACTGAAGCCCCTTCCCCTTGAAAAAAAAAACCTCTGGTGTTGGAAATGGAGAGAACACTTTCATCCTAGCAAAGAAATATTACTGGTAGGCTGAGAGTCCTGCCTTAACTAGTGTTGTCTATTTCATGTTCTCTGCCTTCAAGGTAGTGTATGCCTGTGACAAGATGTCTGTTACACAGGTATATAACTGCTACCTGTGAAGGCAGTGCTTATTTGGAAGCTTACCTGTGTAGTGCTCACACTTGCACATAGTATATAAGATAACCCATAATCCCAGCTCTCTCAGATTACTGAATCTACTACAGAAATATAAGGCTAAGGTACAGAATTTTAAATTGCTTATCCATCCATTTCTAAGGATTTTAGGCTAAACTGGATTTATCCTAAAGGGATGTGTACTGTGTATTAAATTTTCACTTGGATCATCAACTTTTGCAAAGGAAACATTTTTTGGAAAGGATTAGAGATTTAATGATATTTGTACAAAGTGAGTATTAATTGCAATATGTTATGGTAAATTAAGTCTATGGTTGATATATGGTTAAGTTACTATAAGACCAACAAGGGTTTTAAAAGTTATTACTTGTCCAAAGTTCAGTCAGAATTGCATTTGATACTTTTTTAATAGGTTATGTTAATATGGATAAGTTTACTTCAAAGTAAGACAGGAATGCTTCTATAAATCTATTCAAAAGCCTGCAAAAAGTTTTTCTCTCCAACATTGAAAAAAGTTCAGCTATCCAATAATTTCTCATATATATATATATATATATATATATATATATATATATATATATATATATATATATATATATATATATATATATATGATGGTATACTTTCCACACAAAGTGTCATGTAAATTAGACAAAAACTTGCAAAGTAATAAATAGTGTATTACAACTTTTAAATGTTTGTCAAAATGTTTACACATCAATTAAAGAATGAAGTTAAGGAATTAGTTGATGACTCACCTTTAATAAAGTGGTGATCCTTCTTCTTCTGTCTTCATATTATTATTATTATTATTATTATTATTATTATTATTATTATTATTATTATTATTATTATTATTATTATTATTATTATTAAGTTTGTAAACCCATTAAAGAAAACTTAAATCCAAATATTGCAGCAATGAATAGACTGAATGTCAGATATTCAGAAAATAAAATAAGTACATATGCCAAAACTTTTTATATTCATTCTTTACAATTCTTTTTTTTTTTTTTTTTTAAAATGTACCCAAGTTAAGGCAGAAATCTCAGAAATAACTGGTTTTGAGATATGTGCAATTTCTGTTTAATTTGATTCCATATCTCATTGTAAGCTTTGAGATACCTTAGATTGTTATCAGGTGTAATAGCCCTCTTAAATTTGGGTAATAAATTGCTAGCATTTCATCACCTTTCTTAGGTAATAAATTACTAGCATTACATCCACAATCTTTATCCTGCCAGGAATGAAGATAAAAGAGGGAGAGACGACACCCAATTTGTATTTCCGTGGGAGGGGGGATAAAAAAATAATTGGTCAACATTACATAAGAGGGTTCCTCTTTATCCAATCAGTGAGTTCCTTTATCCAATCAGTGAGTTCAAAGGTTATCACCTGTACAATCAACTATCTATGCAAGATCAAAGGCTCTAAGTTCTGGTACAGGAGTGCCCACCGTAAAACTAACAATAGAAAACAGAGTGGGATTATTTGTGTACAATTTGGGGACAAGCATGCCAGGCCAGTCTTGCATGAAACATAAACAGGGAACTGAAGGGTCCCTGGAGTTAATATCAAGTTAGGAGATTGGAGAGGTCATTACACACTACTGCTATACCATCCAGCACTTAACTGCAGTCTTAGGCAGTGAACGTGGTGCCTACTTTGACTCTGCAAATATATTTTTTGTCATCTTGGAGATGGAGGAGAGAAAGCTTAAATGGACTTTAATTTGAATGAGGATAAAAAATATATAATAGAGTTAATATAAATGACTGTCTTCAAGCAGGTAAGAAACTTATTTAATTGGTATAAATGTAGTATGACATGATACAGAACATTTTATACAGACATATAATAATTTTATGTACAGTGGCATGCAATTTATTGTTTTTCAGTTGTTTCTTTTTATTCTTGTTCATATAGATTCCACATGTATCATTTTACCAGGAAAACAAAACTTTTGTGCATGTTTTTTTTTTTAAAAGTTAAAGGATAAGTTTTTTCTTTAATTGGATGGAACTTTAAACTCTTAATATAAAATATATAAAACATTAATTCTTCTTTCTTTATTAGTAACATTTTAAACCCAATAGTTAACAAAAGTATCCACTGAAATATAGTAACTAACCATCATAGTCCACTGTTCTTGATTTTGGCTCCAGTAACTTTTGAGTAAATTATTTTATTACCTCTTTGATTGTCATGCTGTAGACAGTGGTCTGTTGAAATTTCAAAGCAAAGGAGATTTTTATATTTAGCCTTTTGAAGCAAAAGGCTGTAAATCACTTTATCAATTTTAATGGGTGAATTGTAGGCATCTGATTACAGGCAATGTCAGACTTGGTGCAGACATCTTTCATAAGATGAGATGGGGATTTTAATATTTGTATCTGTTTACTTTACATACACCAATATTGTCTGTGTCTTTAATAAAATAAAGACTTACAAACTCTTGCAATAATTTGAATCTAATAAAAGAATTAAAGTTACATCTATGTATCATACCATATATACTCGCTTGTAAGACATATCCAACTGCAGACTGCTGAACCCAACTGTGCCCCAGCAATAATGAATGCACCAACAGATTTAGATCTCTGCTGTTTGTCAGCAGAACAAATTACATAGCTGCAGCAGATCAGTATCTTTGTTGTCTTCATTTTTACTTGTCTTATAAGTGTTTATATATGGTCGATTGTTAAATCTTGCAGGTATTTTGTGATGGCAGATCCAGGGTCTCTGTTATTTGAAATTATACCTGACTTATAAGTAAGTGTATATATATATATATATATATATATATATATATATATATATATATATATATATATATATATATATATATATATATATATATATGGAAAATTTGGATTTCTGACATAAATGATCAGTCTTGATTTATCAATGATGTTGAAAACAGTGTACAAGATATTTTAAAATGGAAGATTTCCTTAAAGGGATAACAAGTTACTGTTTTATAAAATGGGTAATTATTTAATCATGTAAGTTTTATTGATTAAAATCTAACCTTTTCATGGCATGTTTGAGTCCTAAATTCTAATGACATTTTATGTTTTGTTTCCAAAATGTAGCACATGGCATAATAAATTGATTGAAAAGAAAATGGCTAAGAGGATGATCATCTCACACCTACCAAAAAAATGTGTGATTTGTATGACACTTTGTTGTTTCCTTGTCAGTCAGTAACCATTCATCCAAGTCTGACTAGTCAAGTTAACAGCATTGGCTGACCTTTCTTTATATATGAAATATGGTAATGAAGAATCAAACCTCTCCATCCACCTATGTAGTGGCTAACAGTCCTCACAGTGCAGGTTTTGTTTTTCTTCCTGTTATCCCCTTAGGTCTGTTGTGGTAATTAATAGCACTGACTAATTGAAGGTCTATTATATATATATATATATATATATATATATATATATATATATATA